AAGCTCATTGATTTTTCTAAGCCTTAGTGGGTCAAACTGATGTTTGTTTCTGATGGCAGAAACGAGAAAGTTCAGTGGAGCAGGATGGAAATTTTTTCTCGATCGAATAGAAACAATTGAGTACTGTCCGTGATACTTTTTTTATTTGCACTAACATACAATCTCGAACCTTCTCGATCGAATGAATTTCTAACACTGTAGGTGGTTTTCATTTGGTAAAGTCCATTCATTCCACAATCAAATGTTAAAAGCAAATGAAATCTTGGAATTACTTTCCAACAATATTCGACAGTCGAAAATTTGCGCATGAATTTTTCTAAGAATTTTTGTACAATATTTAATTTGAAATTCTACAGGTGTATACCCAGCTTTTGTGTAACACAGAGCCAGACTGTCAGTGTACAAGTCCCAATGTACAGGAGATAGTAGGGTGCAGTATACATGTCTCAGTACAAAGAATTCAGTCAGTGCCCAGGTCTCAGGGTATAGCAGGCTCTGTATCTACAGATCTCTGTGTCTATAGCAGGATGTCAGTGTACAGATCTCATTCTATAGAACAGGCTGTCAGTATACAAATCTGCATATAACCAACTGTAACTGCTCAGGTCTCAGTGTATATAAAGCAGGCTATCAGTGTACAGATCTCAGTGTATAAAGCAGACTGTCAGTGTACAGATCTCAGTGTATATAAAGCAGACTGTCAGTGTACAGATCTCAGTGTATATAAAGCAGGCTGTCAGTGTACAGATCTCAGTGTATATAAAGCAGGCTGTCAGTGTACAGATCTCAGTCTATAGAGCAGGCTGTCAGTATACAAATCTCATATAACCAACTGTAAGTGTACAGTCTCAGTGTATATAAAGCAGGCTGTCAGTGTACAGATCTCAGTGTATATATAAGCAGACTGTCAGTGTACAGATCTCAGTGTGTATATATATAGCAGGCTGTCAGTGTACAGATCTCAATGTATATATAGCAGGCTGTCAGTGTATAGATCTCAGTGTATATATACAGCAGGCTGTCAGTGTACAGATCACAGTGTATATATAGCAGGCTGTCAGTGTACAGATCTCAGTGTATAAAGCAGGCTGTCAGTGTACAGATCTCAGTGTATATAAAGCAGGCTGTCAGTGTACAGATCAGTGTATATCAGTATATATAGCAGGCTGTCAGTGTACAGATCTCAGTGTATATATATAGCAGGCTGTCAGTGTACAGATCTCAGTGTATATATAAAGCAGGCTGTCAGTGTATAGATCTCAGTGTATATATAGCAGGCTGTCAGTGTACAGATCTCAGTGTATATATAAAGCAGGCTGTCAGTGTACAGATCTCAGTGTATATATAGCAGGCTGTCAGTGTACAGATCTCAGTGTATAAAGCAGACTGTCAGTGTACAGATCTCAGTGTATATATAGCAGGCTGTCAGTGTACAGATCTCAGTGTATAAAGCAGACTGTCAGTGTACAGATCTCAGTGTATAAAGCAGACTGTCAGTGTATAGATCTCAGTGTATAAAAAGCAGGCTGTCAGTGTACAGATCTCAGTGTATATATAGCAGGCTGTCAGTGTACAGATCTCAGTGTATAAAGCAGGACTGTCAGTGTACAGATCTCAGTGTATATATAAAGCAGGCTGTCAGTGTACAGATCTCAGTGTATATAGCAGGCTGTCAGTGTACAGATCTCAGTGTATATATAGCAGGCTGTCAGTGTACAGATCTCAGTGTATAAAAAGCAGGCTGTCAGTGTACAGATCTCAGTGTATATAAAGCAGACTGTCAGTGTACAGATCTCAGTGTATAAAGCAGACTGTCAGTGTACAGATCTCAGTGTATAAAGCAGGCTGTCAGTGTACAGATCTCAGTGTATATAGCAGGCTGTCAGTGTACAGATCTCAGTGTATATATAAAGCAGGACTGTCAGTGTACAGATCTCAGTGTATATATAAAGCAGACTGTCAGTGTACAGATCTCAGTGTATATAGCAGGCTGTCAGTGTACAGATCTCAGTGTATATAAAGCAGGCTGTCAGTGTACAGATCTCAGTGTATACATAAAGCAGACTGTCAGTGTACAGATCTCAGTGTATACATAAAGCAGGCTGTCAGTGTACAGATCTCAGTGTATATAGCAGGCTGTCAGTGTACGGATCTCAGTGTATATATAGCAGGCTGTCAGTGTACAGATCTCAGTGTATATATAAAGCAGACTGTCAGTGTACAGATCTCAGTGTATACAGCAGACTGTCAGTGTACAGATCTCAGTGTATAAAGCAGGCTGTCAGTGTACAGATCTCAGTGTATACATAAAGCAGGCTGTCAGTGTACAGGATCTCAGTGTATATAAAGCAGACTGTCAGTGTACGGATCTCAGTGTATACATAAAGCAGACTGTCAGTGTACGGATCTCAGTGTATACATAAAGCAGGCTGTCAGTGTACAGATCTCAGTGTATACATAAAGCAGGCTGTCAGTGTACAGATCTCAGTGTATATACAGCAGACTGTCAGTGTACAGATCTCAGTGTATACATACAGCAGACTGTCAGTGTACAGATCTCAGTGTATATACAGCAGGCTGTCAGTGTACAGATCTCAGTGTATATATAGCAGGCTGTCAGTGTACAGATCTCAGTGTATATATAGCAGACTGTCAGTGTACAGATCTCAGTGTATATATAGCAGGCTGTCAGTGTACAGATCTCAGTGTATATATAGCAGACTGTCAGTGTACAGATCTCAGTGTATATAGCAGGCTGTCAGTGTACAGATCTCAGTGTATACATAAAGCAGACTGTCAGTGTACAGATCTCAGTGTATATATAGCAGGCTGTCAGTGTACAGATCTCAGTGTATATAAAAGCAGACTGTCAGTGTACAGATCTCAGTGTATAAAGCAGGTTGTCAGTGTACAGATCTCAGTGTATATAAAGCAGGCTGTCAGTGTACAGATCTCAGTGTATATATATAGCAGGCTGTCAGTGTACAGGATCTCAGTGTATATAAAGCAGGCTGTCAGTGTACAGATCTCAGTGTATATATAAAGCAGACTGTCAGTGTACAGATCTCAGTGTATAAAGCAGGCTGTCAGTGTACAGATCAGTGTATATATACATAAAGCAGACTGTCAGTGTACAGATCTCAGTGTATATATAAAGCAGACTGTCAGTGTACAGATCTCAGTGTATATAAAGCAGACTGTCAGGTACAGATCTCAGTGTATAAAGCAGGCTGTCAGTGTACAGATCTCAGGGTATACATAAAGCAGGCTGTCAGTGTACGGATCTCAGTGTATATAAAGCAGACTGTCAGTGTACGGATCTCAGTGTATACATAAAGCAGGCTGTCAGTGTACAGATCTCAGTGTACAAGATCTCAGTGTATATAAAAGAAGACTGTCAGTGTACAGATCTCAGTGTATATATAAAGCAGGCTGTCAGTGTACAGATCTCAGTGTATAAAGCAGACTGTCAGTGTACAGATCTCAGTGTATACATAAAGCAGACTGTCAGTGTACAGATCTCTGTGTATAAAAGCAGACTGTCAGTGTACAGATCTCAGTGTATATATAGCAGGCTGTCAGTGTACAGATCTCAGTGTATATATAGCAGACTGTCAGTGTACAGATCTCAGTGTATATATAGCAGACTGTCAGTGTACAGATCTCAGTGTATATATAGCAGACTGTCAGTGTACAGATCTCAGTGTATATATAGCAGGCTGTCAGTGTACAGATCTCAGTGTATATATAGCAGACTGTCAGTGTACAGATCTCAGTGTATATATAAAGCAGACTGTCAGTGTACAGATTTCAGTGTATATATATAAAGCAGACTGTCAGTGTACAGATCTCAGTGTATATAAAGCAGACTGTCAGTGTACAGATCTCAGTGTATATATATAAAGCAGACTGTCAGTGTACAGATCTCAGTGTATAAAGCAGACTGTCAGTGTACAGATCTCAGTGTATATATAGCAGCAGGCTGTCAGTGTACAGATCTCAGTGTATATATAGCAGACTGTCAGTGTACAGATCTCAGTGTATATAAAGCAGGCTGTCAGTGTACAGATCTCAGTGTATAAAAGCAGACTGTCAGTGTACAGATCTCAGTGTATATATAAAGCAGACTGTCAGTGTACAGATCTCAGTGTATATACATAAAGCAGACTGTCAGTGTACAGATCTCAGTGTATACATAAAGCAGGCTGTCAGTGTACAGATCTCAGTGTATACATAAAGCAGACTGTCAGTGTACAGATCTCAGTGTATATATAGCAGACTGTCAGTGTACAGATCTCAGTGTATATATAGCAGACTGTCAGTGTACAGATCTCAGTGTATATATAAAGCAGACTGTCAGTGTACAGATCTCAGTGTATAAAGCAGACTGTCAGTGTACAGATCTCAGTGTATATATAGCAGGCAGTCAGTGTACAGATCTCAGTGTATAAAGCAGACTGTCAGTGTACAGATCTCAGTGTATACAGCAGACTATCAGTGCCCTGGGGTTCCCACACACTGACCCAGGGCAGGAGTGCAGTGTGTTGCTCGGGGCCCTCATTCAGGGTGCAGTATGTTGCTCGGGGCCCTGAGTCGGGTGCACGTCGCTGTGAGTGGGGTGAGGTGAGCGCGCACTGTGTACAGAGAGGAGGCCCCCCCGCCCCCCTCCCTCAGCTGCTCCCCCACCCCCACCTCACCCGCCCCCCTGACTCCCCCTCTCCGGACAGCGCCCCGGTGCATTGTGGGCTCAGTCCGTTGTTCATTTGCCATTCGACCTCGGCCGTGCGGAGAGCGGTGTTTGTGGGCGCCATTGTGTGAGCGGAGTCCGGGAGGAGAGAACGCAGCGTGTTGCGGCTCCTGGGCTGTGTGAGGGGTGAAGCGGCTCCCAGAAGCCTGTGCGCGGCGGGCGGACTGACGGCGGGGGGGGACACTCGGTCACCTCACGTATTGCCGGGCGGGCCCCGGGCGGCCTGTGTGGACGGAGCGAGCTTTGTGGTGACATGGCGGAGATGAACCGCAGGACATTGGCCTTCCGGGGAGGCGGTCTGTCCGCCGCCACCGCCGCCGGGAACAATAACAACAATAATGGCGTCAGCTCGGAGGAGGAGGTCTCGGCCTGGGCCCTGGGCCGGCAGCTGAATGGAAGCGGCGGCGGTGCTGGCGGGGAGGAAGAGGAGGTGGAAGTGGAGCTGGAGCCGGAGGGCCTGCTGGAGGACGACGAGGAGGATGGAGAGGCCTATCCAGGGGTGGTGAGGCCGAAGGCGACGGCCGGAGGGGTGACCGGGCCCTCGGTGAGCGGGGGAGAGCAGTGAGGAGGATGAGGATGACGAGGAGGAGGAGGATGAGGAGGACGGCGGGAAGGCGGCGGCGGACGGGGACGAGGACTGTACCCTGATTCCGGGAGGAGACGGGCCCCGCCGCTTCGGCCTCCTACCCTCCACCCGGCCCCAGTCCCTCCTGCCTAGCCTACACTGTTCCTTCCAGGGCTCCTGGCTGCACGAGTTCCCCTGGGTGCGCTTCTCCCAGGAGACCGGCCTCATGTCCTGTGGCTGGTGCCTCTCCAACGACCAGGCCGGGCACGACGAGCTCACCAAGGGCACCCGCAACTACAAGAGGGCCCTGCTGGTCCGACACGGACAAGCCACCGAGCACCGCCTCAACGACCCCGCTGCTCAGGTGAGACCATGGCCGGGGAATGGACACTGGTACCTGGGGGGGCGGACCGGACACAACCGGCCTCTGACCTTGGGGGGGCACGCACTGCTGAGTCTTGTAGTCATCCAGTTGTTGAATGGTACAAGGCTGCTGGCCCTGTGATTGGGGGTCTGCCAGGTGCAGAAGCTATGGTGGGCTCTTGTTGGGGGAAGGGGTGGCCTCATCCATTGAACCGCACTGGTCTGATAACATCTACACTGCCGGGATGGAGGGGGCATACAGCCTGGTATCTGCCCCAGTCCTCCATATTGCAGGGGGTGTTTATGTCTAGGGTGCCGAGTAATGGGTTGTATTGTGCCTCAGCGCCCTGTTGAGGGGTCACATTACTGTGGGGGGCTGATCACAGGACATATTGTAGGGTGGTGATAGCTGGTCACGTCCTATTGGGGGGTCACATTACTGTGGGGGGCTGATCACAGGACATATTGCAGGGTGGTGATAGCTGGTCACATGTCCTGTTGGGGGGGGTCACATTACTGTGGGGGGCTGATCACAGGACATATTGCAGGGTGGTGATAGCTAGGTCACATGTCCTGTTTGGGGGGGGTCACATTATTGTGGGGGGCTGATCCTTGTAGTCCTCCAGTCCTCTATATTGCAGGGGGTTGATAGGGCTGATCACATGTCCTGTTGGGGGGGGGGGTCACATTGCTGTGGGGGGGCTGATGATCGCCAGGACTATATTGCAGGGTGGTGATAGCTGGTCACATGTCCTGTTGGGGGGTCACATTATTGTGGGGGGCTGATCGCAGGACATATTGCTGGGTGGTGATAGCTGGTCACCCATGTCCTGCTGGGGGGGTTACATTATTGTTGGGGGCTGATCACAGGACATATTGCAGGGTGGTGATAGCTGGTCACATGTCCTGTTGGGGGATCACATTATTGTGGGGGCTGATCACAGGACATATTGCAGGGTGGTGACAGCTGGTCCCATGTCCTGTTGGGGGGGTTACATTATTGTTGGGGGCTGATCACAGGACATATTGCAGGGTGGTGACAGCTGGTCCCATGTCCTGTTGGGGGGGTTACATTATTGTTGGGGGCTGATCACAGGACATATTGCAGGGTGGTGATAGCTGGTCCCATGTCCTGTTGGGGGGGTCACATTACTGTGGGGGGCTGATCCTTGTAGTCCTCCAGTCCTCTATATTGCAGGGGGTTGATAGGGCTGGTCACATTACTGGTGGGGGGCTGATCACAGGACATATTGTAGGGGGGGGTGATAGAGCTGGTCACATGCCCTGTTGGGGAGGGGGTCACATTATTGTTGGGGGGCTGATCACAGGACATATTGCAGGGGTGGGGGGGGGGAATCGCTGGTCAAGTGTCCTGTTGGGGCTGTCACATTACTGTGGGGGGTCTGATCCTTGTAGTCCTCCATATTGCAGGGGGTGATGGGGCTGGTCACATGTCCTGTTGTGGGGGAGATCACATGTCCTATTGCAGGGGGTGCCTAGAGCTAATCCTATTTGGGGGGCTGATCACATCTCCTAATTGGGAGGGGGATATAGGGGACTGGTCACATGTCTTGTAGGGGGGACCACTTGATTTATTGGAGGGAATATAGGGGGCTGGTCACATGTCTTTGCATAGTGTGGGGGTGGGGACTGGTGATACGAGTAGTTTCCGGGGGGTTGTTCGAGTTGGTCACATGACTTATTGTGGGGGATATTGGGGGGGGGGGGGGTCTGGGTGATGGGGGCTGATCACATGACCCTTTTGTCGGACAGCTGGGAGGCCGGTCCTTGGAGCTCTCGGTGCTGTGCACCCCACCCTCAGTGTAAGCTGATTAGAGCGTGGCTGACACCAGGAAGGGGTGGTGTGTTGGGGAGGAAGGGGTGACCTACATTCTGTAACAGGGGCCTGAGCTGGTATAAGAAGCAGGCCGGAAGTTTGCTCAGTGCCCCCCCCCCCCACATAGCTCCCTTTCCTGTGCTCCCCCCTCCCCCGATCACCCCTCCCCTACTTTCCCCAGGTGGGCGCCGCCCGCTGCTGCCTGGCCCGGCGATGGACGTGTCGCTACGTGGCTGCTCCCCAATGGGTCCCCGGATTGGGCCGCTGTGACAGCGCCGACTGGAAGCTGAATGTGTACCAGGAACCTCCGCTCCGAGGGTGGTGGGGGGTCCGGGAGAGGTGCTCGGGATACGGAGGCGAGCCCGGCCTGTTCTTGGCATAGGACTAGCAATCCGGGTAGACCTCACACCGGTGTGTGGATGAGAGCACAGTGCTGGATACTTCCTATATAGGAGATCGTGTGTAGGAAGGCAGAGGAATAGTTAGGGATGGTGGCATTAAAGGGACACTCCACCCTGAGCCCAAATGTCCCATCCTATGTCTGGTTCTGGAGATCTGGCAGCATTGTCAGGTTCCTGGAGGGGAAGCACCCAAGTCCTGACCCCTTTCTGCCCTCGGAGCAGTGTGTTCCTTCCTCACTTCTTGTATTATTAGTATTGTGTTATCATTTCACCAAGCCACCGGTAGATTGTTTTATAGCTTCTTATTTAAGATCAGGAAACGTTTAAGGCTGATCTCACACCTGAGAGTTCATGAACACATACAAAATGCACATCACTCTTTGCAGTGCCATTCATTGTTAATGGTACCCCAAATGCCACAAGCAGATGCACATTGCTAAAAAAAATAAATAGCATGGTACACATAGGGCCCATTGAAATGAATGGGCCGCCCTATGCATTTAGTGGAAAAACACATGTTAATGAGACATGTAAGTGTGAATCTGGCCTCAAGGTCCATGTGTTGCACCAGGTATGGGTTAGTGTGCTGCATTACCATTCAGTTTGTAGAGTGCTGTGCCAATACATTGAAGGAATGCACCTCTGATGTACATGCAGAGCAGCACACCACAACAGATAACATACCACGCTGCCTTATGGCGTGCTGCTTCAGAAAAAAGTGCATAAGCAGCCTGTTCAAGTGAATGGGACACCTTCACACAACACCAGCTTGTATTAACTCAGCACAAACAGACCAGCTAGATGTAAATGAGCATTCAATTCTAGCACACACTCGAGTGCATTACACCTGCCCACACTTGTGCTCCCTATGATGTGCACACTGGTGTGTTGTGCAGAGGCAGTGTGATGTAATTTTACACCACATCACACAGTTTACTTTTTTTTTTCTACGAAAATAAGTGTTCTTTAACCACTTGCCCTCCAGAGGATTTACCCGTCTGCCAGGCCATTTTTTGCAATAAGGTGCTACATTACTTTTAACTAACAATTGTGCGGTCATGCCATGCTGTACATTAATGAAATTTGTCGTTTTTTCCCACAAATAAAGTTTTATTTTGTTAGTATTTGATCACCTTTGAATATTTTTTGCGCTATGAAAAAAAAAAACCCCAACAATTTTGAAAAAAAATGATCTTTTACCTATTGCTATAAAACATATACAATTAAACAATTTTTAAAAATCAAATTGCATTATAAATTTAGGCCAAAATGTATTCTGCTACATGTCTTTGCCAATAAAAAATCTCTACGTGTAAATTAATTGGTTTACGGGAGTTATAGCATCTACAAATGGCAGTGTATGTATACTGGAATTTTATATTTTAGTTTTTTTTTTCTATACTAGTAATGGTGGTAATCAGCGACTTGTAGCGGAACTGCGTGGGCATTCTAACACTGGGTGGGAACTGACTGCCACTGATATCCCCAGTGACACTAATACAGTGATCAGTCCTAATAAAAAGCACTGACACTGTACTAATGACACTAGGCAGGAAAGTGTTAAACATAGTGTTAACTGTATTCTGTGTGTGTGTGTTTTGCTGTGAAAGGGATTGTTTTGTACAAGAGATACAATACCGCATGTCCATGCTGACAGGAGAGAGACCTGTTGTTTACACACAGGTCTCTCCCCTGTCAGCTTTACCCGACAATTTGATCGTCGAATTTCGTCCGGGACCTGGTGATTGACATTCCTAGCCGCCAGTAGCAGTGCCTGTAGGGCGGCGCGTGCTCGTCCCCTATCTGGAAATGCATATCGCGTATATACAGGAAAACTGCAGGGGGTGGGGCAGATATAAGACCAGTCACCCTGCACAAGAAGAGAGACCAGTGGTGACTGGTCTTGACTCTTGCACAAAGCTCCTGCACAAAGGCAAAGGAAAACTTACATTTGCTCTGCTACCCTCATTATGCTAGGTTATCACTTGTGTGGGTGGTTGACACTGTGTGGCCCTACCTGTTCCCACAGCTGCAACCACCTGCACAGAAAAATGCACCTGCCACTCAGGAGAAGAGTGGGGGTACTATTAATCCTAATGGCACCCCACACGCTGGGAAGTGTACACACACTGCAGTTTCCCTGCGGCAGTGTTTTCTGAAAAGGTGCAGGGACCTTCTCCGTGCATTTTCAGTGGAGACAGGAGCCCATTCAGAATGAAATGAATGGGCTGCTGGGCACAGGCATCGCAGCCGCAGGGAAACCTGGGCAAACCAGGGCTTAGATAATGAACAGCTAGAGGTAAGAGCCTACCTAAACAAGTCATTCAACTTCTGGCTGGCCAGATAGGCCTCCACAATATGTCATTTTTGGTAAATCCGAAGGCGTTTGTGTATTCAACCAATTAGGCAGCTTTTCAATATTTTTAACATGGGAAGAACCCTTGACATATACTCCCAGGCTCAGAGAACAGCTGTTAATAATTAATATAGCTCCAGTAAATTAGTGTGATTACTAGGAAGAATGCTCCTTACAATGGTGGTCATTGGGAATACCCCCCCTTACAAATAAGTAAAAAAGATCACTATTGTCAAGTGGTTACTCACCTGAGAGGAGGAAATTGCTGTTTGCTCCACGAACCCAACAGGACAATAGAAACCTCTGGAAGAGTCCTGGTCGAGAGAAAGACCAATTTAGAATAGAATGTAAATACATCTTTAGGCTTCTTGCACATTGAATGGGTGACTTATCCTGTGTAATGTATTTTCTGACCAGCTATCCTTAGAATTAAAGTGGAGTTCCACCCAAAAGTGGAAGCTCCACTTTTTAGAATTAAAGTGGAGTTCTTTTTTTTTTTTTTTTTTTTGTGGGGAGGTGGGGGACCTGGTTTTGACGAACTGAGCGGGAAGTTCGGTCCTTTAAAGTATTTGTAGCTGTTGACGCTTACATTTTTTGGGGGAGTTGGCGGGGGCCGGAATGCAGCTTTAACACACAGGTGCTCATGTAAACACTTGTATAGCATATAGGTGTATGCAAAAAATAGAAAATATTTTTTCTTTGTTATGAGGTGTTTTTTTTTTTTTTTTTTTTTTTTTTTTATGCGAGTACTGCGCATACCTGAGTGCAAGGGGCCTAACTTGTGATGGCATCTGTTGTTTTTTTTCCCCAACAGTATTGACTTGCTTCTGTATTTTACTTATGTTTTTTTTTTCTTCCCCCGCATTCATAGGAGTCAGAAATAAAGCAGGAGGTGCCAGAGACCTACAGTGACTATAGTATAAAGCCAAATGAAAATTCCTACTGTTACCAACTTTTGCAAGAACTCAATGACCAGAGGAAAAAAGGCATTCTTTGCGATGTCAATATTGTAGTAAATGGCAAAGTCTTCAGAGCTCACAAGAATATCCTGGTTGCAGGCAGCCGCTTTTTTAAAACATTATACTGTTTTACAAACAAAGAAAGCCGTGACCAAACCACTGTTACTTACCTGGATGTTGTTGCTGTGCATGGTTTTTCAGTCATTTTAGACTTTATGTACTCTGGTAATCTTGTACTCACCAGCCAAAATGCCATAGAAGTAATGACTGTGGCCAGCTATCTCCAGATGACTGAGGTTGTCCAGTCATGTCGTAATTTCATCAAAGATGCCTTGAATATAAGTATAAAATCTGAAGCTCCAGAGACTGTTGTTGTAAACTATAATAAAAGAAAGAACAAAGATGGCGTTGCTCCCCGGGAACAGAAAGCTGCCAGTTTTTGGGCTACCCGTAATCTTACAAATTTGGCAAGTAATGTAAAACTTGAAACGGACGGATTTAGTTTAGAAGAAGCTGCAGCTGATAATTTTCAAGCCAATGACTCCACGTGGATTCAGGACAGTTCTCCTGAAGTAACAGAAATTGAGCCCCCAGCTCAGGGAAAGGTGTTTGTGTGGAATGATATGGCTTCAAATTCAGTTGGTGTGCCAGAGGTTAACAAGCCCAGGAGAAAAAACCAAACCACCAAGAGATTTGTTTATAACATCCCTCCAAACAGTGAACTCCAAGTAGATGGTAACACAATGCTACAACAGCCTGTTCCTTACGTAGATGAGGATGTTCAGTGCTTCCAGGATGCAGCAGGTAGGTTTCAATCATCTACTAAGGTGTCTTAATGTAACTTTTAAAAGATGTTCTAAAGCCTAAACATTTTTACCATAATTGATTCTTTGCATTAACCACTTTCCCTCCAGAGGATTTACCACCCCCTTCCTGGCCAGGCCATTTTTTTACATTACGGCACTGCGTTACTTTAACTGACAATTGCGCAGTCATGCAACGCTGCACCCAAATTAAATTTACATTTTTTTTCCCCACAAATAGAGCTTTCATTCAGTGGTATTTGATTGCCTGTGCAGTTTTTATTTTTTGTGCTCTAAAAAAAAAAAAAAAGCAGACAATTTTGAGAACAAAAACAGTATTTTTTACTTTTTGCCATTTAGATGTCCTGTAAACAAAAAAATTAAAAATCAAATTTTGTCATATATTTAGACCAAAATATATTCTGCTACATGTCTTTGCAAAAAAAAAATCCCAATACTTGTAAATTAATTGGTTTATGTGAAAGTTATAACATTTACAAATGTCGGTATAGATACTGGAATTTTTTTTTTTTCCTTTACTAGTAATGGTGGCGATCAGCGACTTCTAGCGGACTGTGGCGGGCAATTTGACACTGGGGGGAATTGACTTAGTGTCACTGACATCCCCAGTGACACCAATACAATGATCAATGCTAATAAAAAGCACTGACACTGTACTAAGGGCACTGGGCAGGAAGGGGTTAACGTGTGGCGATCAATGGGTTAACTGTGTGCTGTTTCTCAGTAAGCTGTGTCTGCTTTCAACTGTAAGCACACTGCTTTGCATGGCTCTGCTATGCAGAGTCATACAAAGCAGTGTGCTGGAGATGACAGGGAAGAGAGTTGTATTGTTTACATACAGTTCTCTCCCCCTGTCGTAATACTCGGCGATCAACGGGTACCGGTGAGTAATCACCGGTCGGGACCCGGTTATTGACAGCCGAGGCTGCAAATAGCGGTGCTGGTAGGGCGCGCACTTGGCTCGTGCGCACCCCCTACTACCCGGACATGCAAAATCCAGTGTGTGTGTGTGTGTGTGTGTGTGTGTGTGTATGTATATATATATGTGTATGTATATGTATATATGTGTATATATATATATATATATATAATATATATATATAAATGTGATTTTTGCACACCCCTGCTGCCCTGTAGTAACAGTATTTTCTGCTATAGGGCGGTGAGAAAGCGGTTAAAGTTTTACTAAACCCAGGACCCTGCTTTCAGTATATCTGGTCTCCCTTTTCTCAGCAGTATTTAGCAGTCTTGTGACTTCATCAGTATCCAGCCGAGCACATGTTAAAGCTTGTAGGAGGAGTTTTCATTCTGCTCTTGGTTGATGCAGGACCCCCCAACCTCTGTCTGGACAGTGCTGATTGGCCCTGTGCTGATTACATTGCACTCTCCCAAGAAAAGAAAAAAAACCTCTGTAGCAATACACACCAAACTGAGCATGTGTAGAGTGACTCCACATATGTCTTATCAGGAGATAAGATGGGGGGCACTGGAAGAAGGGGAAGAGCAGAGAAGTCAGGTTCAAAAAGCCTTTTATACACAATGCAGAGGATTAACTCCTTAGGTTCCACAGTGAGTATAACAAGCCATGCTTTAACTGCATATACAGACTGATTTTTTACTGTTGTGGGTTTAGTAACACTTTAAGATATAAAAAATGTTTTGGCCCCTCATCCACCCCCCACTCCTGGTTTTACTTGCCTGAGCCCTCATTCAATCCAGTGCTGTGTACGTCTGCAATTCTTCTGTCCCCTAAGGTCCATGTCTCACTGGCTTTGCTGTCAGTCAAAGCCAGTGACGAAGGGGCAGGGCCAAGTCCCACTGTCTGTGTCAGTGGAGGCAGCAGCGGGTTCGTGAGTGAGCATGCACAAGTGCTCCCAAGGAAAGCAGGCTTCCCATGTGAGGGCATGGGGGCATTGGACAGAGAGGAGGAGCCAGGAACACTACAGGGGACCCGAGAAGAAGAAGGTTCAGGGAACGGTCCGGGGCCGCTCTGTGCAACTCTATTGCACAGAGCAGGAAAGTTTTTAGAGATGCTGCTGTTATTTAAAAAAAAAAAATTAACAAGATCCTTTTACATTCATTTTATAAGTCATTTGAAAACACAATGCAATGTACTCATTTTGTCCAGTTCTTTCCATATGTAGAAATGACTCCACAAACAGTTTTTTCAAACACATTGTCCCATCCACTGCTGGCCAGCAGTGTCCATGTTTGTATATCGGCGTGAGTTACCTTTGTGGTTAACCTTGGATGTAATGCACTGAATTTTGCGAGGTCAATGCTCATCTCCTGTGCAGTCAACATAGATATGCTTTCTGGTACTTTGTGCACTAATGGATATTTAAATTCGTAGTGAAGTCTGAAAAAGAAAAAAAAAAAAACTTGCCCCTGCAAGTGAAGGGCACAATGTGCTAGTATAGCATCACGTTCTAGCACATTATGACAGACTTTCCTTTTTAAAATGAAGCCCTCCAGTGGTGCGCTGTTACCGCTGACAGGGCTCCATCTTCACCGGGTCTTCTTTCCTCCGGGTTCCACATATGCACAGGAGCCACAATCAGAGCACAGTGCACATGGCGCTGGTGATATTACCGATTGCAGAAATGGGTGAACATCTGAACGGTGCATGAATGGTGCATGTTTAGGAAGATACCTATAGTAAGCATTATTATAAGCTTACCTGTAGGAACAAGTCACCAAGTGGTGTTTACTGCCGCAACATTATACACTGATCAGCCACAAGTTTATGACCACCCACCCAATATTGAGTAGGTTGCTGCCAAAACAGCACTGACTTGTCAAGACATGAGTGCCTCTAGACCTCTGAGGGTATTCTGTGATATTTATTATTACTCATTATTATACAGGATTTATATAGCGGCGCTTTACAATATAAGGGAGACAGTACAATTACAATACATTTCAGTACAGAAGGAATAGGAGGGCCCTGCTCTTGGAACTTACAATCAAAAGGAAGGGGGGAGGTGATACAAAAGGTGATAACTGCGGGGGATGATCTGGCGGAGGTGATTCAAGTACAGTTCTTAGGTGGAGGTGGGGTAGGCCTCCCTGAAGAAGTGAGTTTTTAAAGATCGCCTAAAGGCAGACAGGGTGGGGGGCTGACCGGACATGCTGTGGTAGGGAGTTCCAGAGGATGGGAGAGGCTCTAGAGAAGTCCTGGAGGCAAGGAGGTTTATGAGGGAGCTAGAGAGGAGGATATCATGGGAGGAGCGGAGTGGGCGATTTGGGCGGTATCTGTGGATGAGGTTGGTGATGTAGCTAGGGGCAGTGTTGTGGAAGGCTTTGTAAGCTGTGGTTAGTATTTTGAATTTTATACGTTGGGTTAGTGGAAGCCAGTGGAGGGATTGGCAGAGAGGGGCAGCAGTCGCTGATCGGTTGGTAAGGTGTATGAGTCTAGCAGCAGCATTCATAATAGACTGAAGGAGGGATAGCTTGTGTAACGGTAGACCAGTGAGGAGGGAGTTGCAGTAATCGAGGCGGGATATAACCAAGGCATGGATAAGTTTCTTTGTGGTGTCATTGGTCAGGAAGGGGCGGATTTTGGAAATGTTCCGGAGGTTGAGGCGGCAGGATTTAGCTAGTGAGTGGATGTGGAACCCAAAGGAGAGGTCAGAGTCTAGGATTACGCCTAGCACCCTGGCATGAGGGGAAGAACCAATGGTTGTGCTGTTGATCTTAATGGTAAAGTCGTGAGTGGGGGATCGGGGAGGAGGAAATATTACAAGCTCAGTTTTTGAAATATTGAGTTTGAGGTAGTGGTGTGACATCCATGCTGATATGTCGCTTAGTAGATTTGTGATACGTGAGGGGGTGAGCTGGGGAGTGGAGAGATAGATCTGGGTTTCATCAGCATAGAGGTGGTATTGGAAGCCATGGGAGGTTATCAGTTGACCCAGGGAGGAGGTATAGAGAGAGAAAAGGAGGTGCCCAAGGACAGAACCTTGGGGTACCCCAACAGAAAGGGGAAGAGGAGCGGAGGAGGAGGACTTGTACGTGACACTGAAAGTGCGCTGAGAAAGGTAGGAGAACCAGGAGAGAGCAGAGTCACGGAGGCCGATGGAGTGGAGTTTACTGAGGAGGAGCGGGTGGTCGACTGAGTCAAAGGCAGCGGAAAGGTCAAGGAGTATGAGTATGGAGTAATCGCCATCTATCTATTCTGGTACCAAGCTCAGTAGCAGATCCTTGAAGTCCTGTAAGTTGTGAGGTGAGACCTCCATGGACCAGACTTTGTTTACCAGCACATCCCATGATGCTTGATTGGATGGAGATTTGGAAGCCAAGTCAACACCTTCTAGTATTCCTTGAACCATTTTTGCAGTGTGGCAGGGCTTGTTATCCTGCTGAAAAGCTACTGCAATCATGAATACCATTTCAATGAAGGGGTGTACTTGGTATGCAACAACGCCTAGATAGTTGGTACATGTCAAGTAACTATCCACATGAAGACCCAAGGTTTCCCAGCAGAACATTGGCCAAAGCATCACACAGCCTCCACCGACTTGCCATCTTCCCATGCTGTTCTGCATTCTGTTCCTATCTCTTCCCCAAGTAAGTGAGGCATCTGACCATCCACATGGGATAGAAGAAAACATGATTCATTAGACCAGATGACCTTCTTCCATTGCTGTGTGGTCCAGTTCTGATGCTCATGTGCCCATTGTTGGCACTTATGGGCGCCCTGACTGGTCTACGGCTACAGAGCTCCATTCACAACAAACTGGTATGCCTTTTTTTTTTTTTCTGCTTTCAGCACATCGATTTCAGGGAAAACTTTTTCTCTTGCTGCCCAATTTATCACACTGACTTTAAGTTGCCATTGTGCTAAGATAATCAAATGTTATTCACCTAGTAAAGCGCTGCGTAAAATGGACAGCGCTATATAAGCACCTGAAATAATAATCGGTTGTCAGTGGTCATAATGTTATGGCTGATGTGACTGTGTAATTTGGATTAACAGTT